CATTTGAAATGGTAAGCCCTAATTATTGGTGTCCAAATACTACTACGGTAGATTTTCAGAAACTAAACTCAAAAGGATTCAAGATGAGTTTGAGACACCTGCAACAAAACTGTGACAATTTTGTCAAAAAATGTGTTTCACAAATTTCTTGAACATGATCGCCTCTGAGACTCATAAAAGGAATTTGCAACCCCCCCTCTCCCAATGAATATTTTGGTAACAGTGTAGAGATTCTCTAGCAAGTGGTGTTGCACTAGTCCTCAACAGTCGTTGTTCAGTGAGATACTGGCTTTCACTTTAACTGTTCAGTTTCTCCTCATAAATGACTGAATGAAAGAACAGAAGAGGTAATTACCACAGAGCACTACTTTCAGCTTTAAGAAAACCTCAATTTTCTTTCAGGCTTTTGCAAACGAGCCACAAAGTAAAAGGATGGATTAGTTGTCGCCAAAATGGGAGTGATAACCACGTCCAGCTACTTTTTTTCTTTTAAACTAAATGCACATCCAGTCTTTCATCAGTAAAAATTGCTATTTAGTTGTCTCTGTTTTTCCTAAGTGTAAATTGTACTCTTCCAACTAGCTTTCCACCACAAAAATGCTAACAGTGACATTCTTTCCGTCATTCTCAAACTACAGTATTTTACCATTTTCACCGCTCAATTATTTAACACAATTTCAAATGCTTTTTTTTTTTGTATAACTGTGTTTTTTTCACTAAAAAATTCATATCTTTTTAAGGGACATATTCAAAGTTTTTGTTCTGTAACAAATTAATTGTTGACTGCAGCTGTAAATCAGTACAAAATTAGAGACCTTTTCAGAAAGCAAGTCTTTAGTGTTTCTGTTAGGATAAAATATAAAACTACGTCTGCAGTGAACGAACTAATTGGTTTTGCTAAAGGAAGGCTTCTTGTGGAGGGTTTGATTGCTTCTTCATTCAAATTGGTTGTTGAGGTGCTAATTGAGCTCGAGTTTTCTCCAAAAWGCGACAATAAAACCAAATGAGCTGGATTTGATAGATTTTTTTTAACCTTCAGGGTGTTTTTTTTCTTCAAACCCATTTAAATGTGTTACTGATGAGTTATTTGACTCATTTGATAAAGTATAATAGTAATAWTATTATCTGAGAGATATGAAAGAAATGAATGTGCTGTGGTGTCATTRTGGCATCTGAGTCAGGCTGTCTGTCAGAAACAAACGTCCTGAAGGTGGTTGGTGTTAATGAGRGTTTCTGGGTTTTGCAACACGATACAGACATTTTTCTTTTAGATGCAACCTACTTATTTGAAAAGGAACCTATTATTCTCATCTCTAGCCTAAAGCCTTTGGGATTCTACYTCAGCAGTCGAATCATTTACATAAAACAAATCTCAGTCTGTATTTTATGCTGAATCATCCTGCTCTGTTTCATAACTTGTTGAAAAGCAAATAATTAGCTTTTTTATTTTTACTTTTTTTTGGGGGTGGGGGTGGGGGTCTCCAAAGTCTATTTTTATTCTTATCCTTCTGCTTCTGGAAGTGTGAGCGAGACAGTGTTCKGACAAAATTATTGTTGTTCTGTTTTTTGTGGTGAGTGCTGCCTTGATGATCTTAATATTGCACAAATCTTATTTTGTTGTCACAATATTTTGACTAAACTTGAAGGAAGAGTACAGAAGGCTGTACCAGACCATTCAGCAGTATGATGCTTAGGATGAGAGGGCGGGGCGACAGAAAACTGTAAGCTAATGGTAGATTCTTGTTAGGTTGTTGCTGTTTTCTGGTAGCTTGCTACTGTTGCTGTACAGTTAAACTTGAATGTTAATATATGTTAGTCACTGCAAAAGATTTGTGTAAAGTTACTCTCATCTGTGCAT